GAAAAAAATTCTGAATACTCTTGTAACTAGCTCCATGAGCTTCTGTAATTCTTCTTCTTCTTCTTTTTTTTTAAGAGACAGAGTCTCACTCTGTTGCATCATCACAGCTCACTGCAACCTCAAACTCCTAGACTCAAGTGATACTTCTGCCTACCTCCTGAGTAGCTGGGACTACAGACACCACTACACTTGGCTAGTTTTTTCTATTTTTGATAGAGATGGGCTTTCACTGTTGCTCAGGCTGGTCTCAAACTCCTGATGTCAAATGATCATCCGTGGCTCAGCACCCACAGTGGTTATGGTGCCAGCCACATACACTGAGGGTGGCAGGTTTTAACCCGGCCCGGGCCAGTTAAACAACTGCAACAAAAAAATAGCTAGGCATTGTGGTGGGTGCTGGTAGTCCCAGCTAATCGGGAGGCTGAGGCAAGGGAATCGCTTAAGCCCAAGAGTTTGAAGTTGCTGTGAGCTGTGATGCCACAGCACTCTACCAAGGCAGCACAGTGAGACTCTGTCTCAAAAAAAAAAAAAAAATTGTCCCTTGCCTCAGCCTCCCAGAATGGATAATCCTTTTCCTTAACAACTTGATTCTCTGAGTTGTTTCCTGGAAATGATAAACTCTTGGCCTCAAGAGATCCTCCTGCCTTACCCTCCCAGAGTGTTGGGATTGTAGGAGTGAGCCACCACACTAACCTGAAATGATGGATTTCCTACAAGACAAAGGAGTTGAAGTTGTGAAGTTTCTAGGGTAGACTCCCTGACATTCAGATTCACCGTCCTCCACAACCTGCCCCCAATGCATGTAGCCCCATGTGAGACACAACCTAGTACCTTTCCCATTGGGGCACATGACCCTCCCTTTAAAAGCAAATGATATACCTTAGTTGGAGAGACAGACTTCAGACAGCTTTTCCAGCTCTCCCTGAAAGATGTATTAAAAATTCCCTTCCTCTGGCTTGGTGCCTGTAGCTCAAGCAGCTAAGGCACCAGCCACATACACCAGAGATGGCGGGTTCAAATCCAGCCTGGGCCTGCCAAACAGCAATGACAACTCAACCATAAAATAGCCAGGTGTTGTTGCGGGTGCCTGTAGTCCCAGCTACTTGGGAGAATGAGGCAAGAGAATCACTTATGTCCAGGAGTTGGAGGCTGCTGTGAGTTGTGATGCCACAACTGTGACTCAAATAAATAAACAAATAAATAAAACATGGAATACTTCACAAATTTGCATGTCATCCTTGCACAGGCATACCTCTTTTAGAACACAGTTCAAAAGGTTTATCTTTCTTTCTTTTTTTTTTTTTTTTTTTGAGACAGAGCCTCAAGCTGTCCCTCTGGGTAGAGTGCTATGGCTTCACAGCTCACAGCAACCTCCAACTCCTGGGCTCAAGCAAGTCTCCTGCCTCCGCCTCCCAAGTAGCTGGGACCACAGGTGCCCACCACAATGCCCGGCTATTTTTTGGTTGCAGCCGTCATTGGTGTTTGGCAGGCCGGGCTGGATGCAAACCTGCCACCTTAGGTGTATGTGGCTGGCACCTTAGCCACTTGAGCCACAGGCACTGAGCCAGGTTTATCTTTCTCATGGTGAAAAAGGAAAAGGTAGGGCTTATTAGACACCTAATAAACATCCTAGTTGTAGAAAAAGAGAAGTGGACACATTATTTATTGACTTCTCAATTTGTTCCTTAAATTGACAAAAACTTTTCTTCTTCAGATAATCACAGAATTTTTTTGTGCACAAAGGCTTCAAAGCTCAAAGACTGTTACAACAGCATTTAATACAATATCACTCCTTGTTTCTTGTAATACTTTCTCCATTTGGCTTTCAGAGCAGCTACACTTCCCATCTGCTCACTCTTTCTTTTCAGTCTCCTGACATTCATTCAACAACTATGTATTCCTCACCTGTAATTCTAGCACTCCAGGAGGCTGTGGCATGTGGATTGCTTAAGCTCAGGAGTTCAAGACCAGCCTGAGCACAAGTGAGACCCTGTCTCTACTACAATAATAGAAAAACTAGCTGGGGGTTATGGCAAGCGCCTGTGTCCCAGCAACTCAGGAGGCTAAGGAAAGAGGATTGCTCAAGTCGAAGAGTATGGGGTTGCTATTACCTAGGACACCATGGCACTCTACTCAGGGAAACAGAGTGAGATTCTGTCTCAAAAAAAAAAACAAACCCCAATAAATACATATTTTATACCAGGACTTTTCTAAATATAGATACTCCTGAACTTACCGTCATGGGCTTACGTGCCAATAAACCTATTGTAAACTGAAAATATCATAAGTCAAAAAGATGTTTAATACACCTAATCAACAAACCATCATAGCTTAGCCTAGACTATCTATTTTTTTTTTTTTTGCAGTTTTTGGCTGGGGCTGGATTTGAACTCACCACCTCTAGTATATGGGGCCGGTACCCCACTCCTTTGAGCCACAGGTGCCGCCCAGCCTAGACTATCTTAAATGTGCTCAGAACATTTACATTAGCTTACAATTGGGCAAAATCATCTAACACAAAATCTACTTTATAATAAACTGTTAAATACCTCATGTAATTTATGAGGTACTGAAAGTGAAAAACAGAATGGTTGCATAGGTACTAAAAGGATAGTATGTACTGAATGCATATTACTTTCACACTATAGTAAAGTCTAAAAATCTTAAGTCAGGGCTTACCTGTATGGAGATTCAGCAGTGAACAAAACAGACAAAAAATGCTTTCTATCATGAAACTACATGCTTTTGTCTCTTTTACCTCTTCTTGACTTAAATGTTGGTGGGCTGACTTCTCCATCTTGACTCTCCTTAAGACATCTCACCCAGTAGCCTACATGGTAAGAATTTTCTGCCCTCCAGTTCTTGCTCTGGCCCTCCTCTGACAGGTAAGCCACAAGACAAGGTGGCCAAAAAAATGTGCTGACACAGCCTATGTATTCTTTCTCAAGGCAGAAAGAATGGTTGACTATACAACAGCTATTTTTGGATTTTTAGTAGAGATAGGGTCCTGTGAAATCCACCCTCCTTAGCCTCCCAGAGTCTAGGATTACAGGCATGAGCCACTGTGCCAGCCTATATCACTTTAAAAGAAAAAAAAATTATTAGAATAAAATTTTCCAAAAAGTTTACGGCCCTGAAATCTAAGGAGTACAGGAATCCCAAATTCATATGTGGCCTTCTGGGTCATCTTGAAGGTAAACTTCTCAAGGGAGAATAGAACACATTTTATTTAATAGCTTATTCTTTTTATTTTAAATGGTGCGTAGGTATCCAGTAGTACATTTTCCCCTGGACTCCTGGAATATTAAGACCAGGTCTCTTTAGACCTGTTGTCTGCCCCTATTCAGACTTGTATCCATCTGCCTATGGATGTGAGGGATAATCCCCTGGTTATATAATAATAACCATCTCACATTTAATATGGTGTAGACCAGGGGCGTCCAACCTGTAGCCCATGGGCTGCATGCTGATTTTTTGAGGACTTATTTTATCTATCTGTGATGTCAGACATCACAAAAAGTATGTTTTTGCTAATTAGCTTTCATTAGTGTTTGTGTAATTAATGTGTAGTCCAAACAATTCTTATTCTGCCAATGTGTAGCAGAGGAAAAAAAAAGGTTGGATACTCCTGGTATAGACAGACTTGATTTTCTCTCCCACATTCCTGCTCCAGTTTTTCCCACCTCTTTAAATGGCCTACCGTTTGTTTTGTTTTTTTCAGACAATTTTACTTTGTTGCACTGGGTTGAGTGCCATGGCATCACTGTACCTCACAGCAACCTCAAACTCTTGGGCTCAAGTCATCCTATTGCCTCAAGCCTCCAGAATAGTTGGGACTACAGGCACTATCACAAGGCCCTACTAATTTTTCTATTTTTAGTAGAGATAAGAGTCCTGTGAAATCCACCCTCCTTAGCCTCCCAGAGTCTAGGATTACAGGCATGAGCCACTGTGCCAGCCTATATCACTTTAAAAGTTATATCTTTACACACTAAGGGCCCTTTTACTTAGAAAATCCACCTGTTCTATCTTCCCTCTTTCTCCCTACTATACTTGACTAGTCTTTAAAAATATTAATAAAATTAATGAAATTTTAAAAAGAAAAAATCCGGAACTTCACTAAAAATCTGTTGGATAGTATCTTTCGTACCTGCTACTCTCCCTCGACTCACATCGGACTTCATAAGGTCCACATTCAAGTTTATTCATACTTTAAGGTCTTTAGAAGAAATAGAAATAATTTTTATTTGTATTTACTAAATTTGACAACTTAAAAGAAACCCTCCTATATAAAATGAACAGTTTTCAGCAACTTGTCACTGTTGTTTGTTCCTGCCAATTTACTAGCTATCTGTGTGACCTTTAACAGACAGGTAATTTACATCTCACGTCTACAGGCACGGATAGTTAACTGTGAAGCTTAAATAAAGCAGCATTTGTAGCGTTTTTAGCGTAGTCAATGGTCACTGATGTTGCATATTGTTCGTTATTAACTACCATAAAGGGTCAGCTCAGTAAACTGTCGCTGACCCAGAATGACAGGAACCCACCACACCTCGGGAAAGGGCGAGCAAGGTCGGCAATGCAGCGGTGAGAAAATGAGGAACGCCTTCCACACCCAGAGTTAAGCAAGCAATCTAATACTGTGACGTAGTTCAACCCGGCGGCGAGAGAAAACCCACCGCAGTTAAGGTTAGACGCCCGCCTTCTCCAACGAAGGGAACCCCGTGACACCGTCCCAAGCACTTCCGTTTTGGTGCGCCCGCCCTGCCCCGCCCCTAGCCTGCACTTTCGACAAAAACAGTATTTCCCTCTGACACCTTTATATTTTCTTCACTTCTTCCTCATCCTGACCGAATTTGAAAATAAAAATTAATCTGCGAGGAATCAGAGACGCGCATGGCTACAGAAAGATCGGGTAAGCGGGCGTGGCGAAAGTGCGCAGCGGAAGCCCCGCACGCCCTCTCTTCTCTGTCCGGAAGTCGCTGAGTATAAATGAATCCCAAAGCCGGCGGCCTCTGCTATTGTCGTCCGCTGGGTCACCGGGTACATGTGGAGGATTTCAGGTGCCCGCGCAGCGCTTCGTGGAGTCCGGACAGCGGTGGAGCAGCGCAGCCGAACCGACAAGGCGACTGAGACGGCGGCAGGTGCGATGGAGCGCGCTGTAGTGCGCTGTGTGCCGTCGGAGCCCAAGCTGAGCCTATCATTCGCGCTGGCCGACGGCAGCCACAAGAACATGCAGCGCGACCAGAGCGAGCCTCTGGGTCGGGCCCTCAGCCGGATCGCTACGAACGCCCTCAAGGGCCACGCTAAGGCGGTGGCCGCCAAGAAGAGCAGGAAAAATCGGTCCAACTCGAGCGGCGGTGCGGCCTGTGCTGGGCCTGGGCCCGAGTCGGCTGCAGCCTGCGAGCCCGTGGTGAAGCTATACTACCGGGAGGAAGCCGTGGCTGAGGACGTGCTCAACGTGGACGCTTGGCAGGATGGCGCAGTGCTGCAGATAGGAGATGTCAAGTACAAAGTGGAGCGCAATCCACCCGCCTTCACCGACCTCCAATTGCCGCGCTACATCATGGCGGGCTTCCCGGTGTGCCCCAAGCTCAGCCTCGAATTTGGAGATCCCGCCGTTTCCCTCTTCCGCTGGTACAAGGAAGCCAAATTGGGAGCGATGGAGCCTGAGGTCGGTGGCCCCTCGTCACTGTCTCCCTCCACGCCCTCTTCTACTTGGACGGAGATAGGTGTGGACGAGCGCGTCTACACCCCGTCTAATGCTGATGTCGGGTTACGGCTCAAGCTTCATTGCACCCCAGGCAATGGGCAGCGCTTTGGGCCGAGCCGGGAGATAGAAAGTGTGTGTCCGGTAGAGGCTGGACCAGGCACCTGCACTTTTGACCACCGGCATCTCTATACTAAGAAGGTGGCAGAGGACGCTCTTATCCGCACCGTCTCCTACAACATCCTGGCAGACACATACGCTCAGACTGAGTTCTCGCGTACAGTATTGTACCCATACTGTGCTCCCTATGCCCTGGAAGTCGACTACCGCCAGAACCTTATCCAGAAGGAACTCACGGGCTACAATGCCGACGTCATCTGTTTGCAGGAAGTTGACCGCTCTGTGTTTTCTGACAGCTTGGCGCCGGCCCTCGAGGCCTTTGGGCTCGAAGGCGTTTTTCGAATCAAGCAGCACGAAGGCCTGGCTACTTTCTACCGAAAGTCTAAATTCACCCTCCTTAGCCAGCATGACATTGCTTTCCATGAGGCCCTGGAATCCGACCCCCTTCACAAAGAACTGCTGGAGAAACTAGTTTTGTACCCATGGGCGCAGGAGAGAGTACTGCAGAGATCTTCTGTTCTTCAGGTAAAATAGCCTCCCAGATTGGGTATTTGCTCTAGTTTCTTCAGCATAAAAGTTTAGTCTTCATTCATTCAGCACATACGTTTTTTGTTTTGAGATAGCATCTCACTCTTCACCCTGAGTAGAATGTGAAGTCATAGCTCACAGCAACCACGAACTCTTGAGCTCAAGCAGTCCTCTTGCCTCAGCCTCCCAAGTAGCTGGAACTACAGGTGCCTACTACAACACCCAGCTAGTTTTTCTATTTTTAGTAGAGACCAGGGTCTTGCTCTTTCTTGCTCAGGCTCATTTGGAACTCCTGGACTTGGGCAGTCCACTCTCCTCAGCCTCCTAGAGTACTAGAAATACAGGCGTGAGTCACCACACCCAGCCAGCATATATGTTTTGAACACTTAGTGTTCCTACCACACAAGCTTGTAGGTTGCCCTGAACAAGACAAATGGAGATTTTCATAATGCTTACACTCTAGTGAGAGGAACACATGTTAAATACCAAAATAGTAATGGCTAATATTCTTTACTACTTGCCATGCACTATCCTGACACATTTTAAAGTTTTTAAAATTTAAGAGCCTGTTATATTTTATGAAGGGCTTCATAAATCTTAGCTAGTATTTTTCTTTAATTGTTGCGTCATTTAATCTTCATGGTAATCTTGCTATTCCTTTTTTTTTTTTTTAATAGATAGACTAGAGCAGTATTTTCCAACCTTTTTTTATTTCATGGCACACTTGAACCTATAGTTAAACTTCTGATCCCAAAAAAAAAAAAAAGAGTAAAAGGCCAGTGGCAGTGCCTCACACCTGTAATTCTAACACTCTAGGAGGCTAAGACAGTGGATTGCTGGAGGTCAGAAGTTTGAGACCAGCTTGAGCAAGAGCGAGACCCAATCTCTACTAAACAGAGAAAAATTAGCCGGGCATTGTGACAAGTACCTGTGATCTATGATGATGCTGTGGCACTCAACTCTGGGTGACAGAGTGAGACTCTGTCTTTAAAAAAAAAGAAAAAGAAAAAGAGTATACTGTGTTTTGAACTTCTTTCAAAAGTAATGATTTTTAAAACTTTTCTGGCACACCTGTTGAAAATTACTGGGCTAGAGTATAATAGTTGATATTTAGCTCACTGCAGCCCCAAACTCCTGGGCTCAAACTATACTCCTGCTTCAGCCTTTCAAGTATCTGGGATTATAGACGTGTGCCACAATGTCGGGCTAATTTTTCTACTTTTTATAGAGATAGGGTCTTGCTATGTTGCCCAGTCTGGCCTCAAACTCCTGACCTCAAGCAATCCTCCCACGTTGGCTTCCCAAAATTGCAGGATTATTTGCATGAGCCACCATGCCTGGCCTATTACTGCTTCTTTTTATCAACATGAAACAGGTTTAGAATCGTATCTCTCCAGGATAGTGCTATAAATTGTAAAGTGGGTATTGAAACATAGATCCGCCTGACTCCAAAACCTATGCTAACCTCCTTGAAAAGGGTCTCCCACCTTCATTTTGTCATGTAAAAATGTATTTTGTACTGGCTTTATATGTTGAACTGTTATTAAAACATGTAACAGTGAATTCTGTTCATAGATTATAAAACTTAAATAAAATTTCATAATTTCAGCCTTCATCAAAGGAAGGAAATGGAATAAAATGTCAGTTCATCACATAGTCTTATATAAAAACATTCAGGAGATTGGCAGGCACGAACTGAACTCCTGGCACTTTCCCTTTTTTTAGGTTTCAGTTCTTCAGTCTACAAAGGACTCTTCTAAAAAGATATGTGTTGCTAATACCCATCTTTACTGGCATCCAAAAGGTATGTTCTATTTAATTTCACAAGTGACTTAAATGTAACTTAAGATTGTTAAATTGGTATTACACGAGTATGTCTTGAATGTCACCCAGAGAGTGTAGTTGATGAGGATTTTTCCTTTTCTTTTTTTTTTTACTTACAGACAACTTTTAAAAGTACTTACATTGTTTTTTATATTTGTAGGTGGATACATTCGTCTCATTCAAATGGCAATAGCCTTGGCTCACATTAGACATGTCTCGTGTGATCTGTATCCTGGCATACCAGTTATATTTTGTGGGGACTTTAATAGTACGCCATCAACAGGAATGTATCATTTTGTCATCAATGGAAGCATTCAAGAGGATCATGAAGACTGGTCTTCCAATGGGGAAGAAGAAAGATGCAACATGTCTCTTACTCATTTCTTCAAACTGAAAAGCGCTTGTGGTGAACCTGCTTACACAAATTATGTTGGTGGCTTTCATGGATGTCTAGATTACATTTTCATTGACTTAAATGCTTTAGAGGTTGAGCAGGTGATTCCATTACCTAGTCACGAAGAAGTTACCACCCACCAGGCCTTACCTAGTGTTTCCCATCCCTCTGATCACATAGCACTTGTATGTGATTTAAAATGGAAATAGACTTGTGTTTAATGGAAGTTGTTTAGACCTGAAAAGGAAGTTAGTTACTTAGCAGAAAATTTAATGTGTATCAAAGCTTATGTCACTTTCAAAGAGGAAAACTAGACACTAAGGTAAAATGTTCATACCCTACTAGTTATGCTCCAGATGTTTTCATTATGAAACTGTTCATAATGTTTGCATCATAGTTTCTCTTTGCTTTTTTCCCCCCTACACCTGGAGGAAGTATTTATGAGTAGCAAGAAGAAAATTGAATTATTGTGTACATTTTTGTAAGTGTTTTTTAGCTAGTAATTAAGTATTTTTTAAGTACCATTTGAATGATCATATTTTTCTTTCATAACATACATTCCAAATTGAATCATGTTTATATAATTAGTGGAAAATGCATGTAAGTTATGGTGAGAGACCTAACTTCTAACACATGGAAGGAATAACATTAGGGTTTACCTCTACCTCAATTTGGTTAGCAATTTACTACAGTTTTAGAGCTTTAACAAAAGATTAAAATATACTGTCACTTGTTATTGCTTCTTATCCTTCATTTTTCAACTAACAAGGTATGTTCATCCTCCAATTTTTAGGATTTTAGTTTTAGTGTATCGTACAAATGGACATAATTTATATTATTCTTAATGGAGGTCCTTTTAATTTTTAGGATGCAAGCACAATTTAGTATTGAAAGTGAGTAGCAGCATTCAACTTGATCCCATTGTCATTAATTAGTCTTGCCTATGAAATAAGTCACTGGGGTATATGACCAAATATTAGAGCACAATACATTACTTTATGAGAAACTACCTAAAGATAAGGCTTGAAATTTTGGGTGAACAATTGAGCATTTCTGTGCTAGAAATATTTTCAAAATTGATTTTTATAAACATGAAAAAAGGGGACTGGTGGGACTTTTGAGCTTCTCTGATATAAACTATTCTTTATAGACTTGAGCATTATAGTTTGAGTTACAGGACAACATTGTGTGTGTATATATATACATAATTTATATACATATTTTAAAAGAATTTAAATATAAAATCAAACTTTTTTTAAAATTAGAAATTACAGGTAGTTGTAGTGATTAGTGTTTGCTAACTCATTTATCACTATACATTATTTATAATTCTTTTGCTATTCCTTTTTTGATGTTCAGGAAAACTAACATTGATATTTCTGCATTTAATTTCTAGCTCAGCTGTTGAAAGCCCATCCACCCCAAGAACTGTGATTTTCTCCAGTCATGAAAGCTCTCATTTCAAATTCTTTAATCTCTGAACCCAATACCCTAATAGTTATCTTCTTTTTTTTTTTTCTTTTTTTAGAAACAGAGTCTCACTTTATTACCCTCAGTAGAGTGCTGTGGCATCACACAGCTCACAGCAACCTCCAACTCCTGGACTTAGGCGATTCTCTTACCTCAGCCTCCTGAGTAGCTGGGACTATAGGCGCCCACTACAACACTGGCTATTTTTTTGTTGCAGTTTGGCCGGGGCCAGGTTTGAACCCACCACCCTCAGTATATGGGGCTGGCGCCCTATGCACTGAGCCACAGGCACTGCCCTAGTTATCTTCTTTTGATGAAGTACCAGTAGTCTATACTTTCATATTCTTTTTATTTTTTTTTTTATAGAGACAGAGTTTCACCTATAGCCCTCAGTAGAGTGCTGTGACATCACAGCTCACAGCAACCTCCAACTCCTGGGCTTAGGCGATTCTCTTGCCTCAGCCTCCTGAGTAGCTGGAACTACAGGCACCCACCACAACACCCAGCTATTTTTTTTGTTGCAGTTTGGCCAGGGCTGGGTTTGAACCTGCTACCTTCAGTATATGGGGCTGGCACCCCACTCACTGAGACACAGGTGCTGCCCTGTATTTTCATATTCTGTACTATCAAATGTATTAACTCTTAGTAAGTTTGAGAATGAAAGGGTTTTTTCCTATATGTCAGATTGAATCTTGAAGTTCTTTTTTTTTAACTTTTTTTTATTAAATGATAGCTGTATACATTAATGCAAACATGGGGTACAGTGTAGTGTTTTCATATGCAATTTGAAATATTTTCATCAAACTGGTTAACATAGAATCTCGAAGTTCTTAAAATAACTTGAAGGGAAAATTTAAGTGGCCATTTCTTGGGATCTTGCTTAGAAAAAATTGAATAAAAAATTGATGCTACTGAATTGTGCCTTCCTAAATAACATTTTTGAGAGCATTTTAAATATTAAGACTAAAATCCAGGTTTTTTTGCAGAATATATTTTCTTTTTATAATTTGTTTTCTGTTTCCAAACAAACGTGTTGACAACACCCTTATAGCAACTTAGAAGAAAGTTTCCCAGCAAAACACTGAGAAACATTTTGAAAGAAAAAATTGTAATATGAGATAATTACTCATGCCCATGTTAGCACTATGACTAGCTAGATTAAGCTCTAGTCATAAAACTAAGTACTTTTCAAATATTCTATATTCTTAGCTTACACCTGTAATCTCAGCACTCTGGAAGGCCAAGATTGGTAGATTGCTTGAGCTCATGGGTTGGAGACCAGGCTGAGCAAGAGCGAGACCCCATCTCTAAAAAAAATAGCCAGACATGGGCGGCGCCTATGGCTCAAAGGAGTAGGGCCCAATTTGCCACAGGTGGTGGGTTCATACCCACCCCTGGCCAAAAACTGCAAAAAAAAAAAAAAAAAAAAGCCAGATGTGGCATGTGCCTGTAATCCTAGCTACTCAGGAGACTGAGGCAAGAGGATCTTTTGAGCCCAAGAGTTTGAGGTTGCTGGGAGCTATGACGCCATGGCACTCTATCAAGGCTGACAAAGTAAGGCTCTGTCCAAAAAAAAGATTCCATGTCCAAATCCTTAAATTTGATTTTTGCTGACAAGACAGTATAGTCAGATTACACTATTTCTGAGTATTAGGATGGAGAATGTTATTGTGAAGTACAGTACATTCTGGCCAGATCTCCAGGATACAGATATATTAGAATGATGGGAGTCCAAAAGTAGAGAACACTAACAAAATGTATGTATAGTATACCAGTACTTCCTTATACTCATGAGTTAGAATAAAGTGTTATTCAAAATGTTTGTGTTTAAACCTACCTTTATGATTTCATTTTTTATTACATTTGGATCCTTTAGTACATTTAATAAAATATGGGAAGGCTAGGAACTTTTTATTTTTCTGGTGGAGACAAGGTCTCCTGTCCTCCTACCTCAGCTTTCTAAAATGTTGGGATTATAGGTGTGTGCCACTACACTTGGTGTTATTTTTTATGATAGCCCACATTTTATGATGTCACAAGTTTTTGCTGTAGGAATTAATGTTCCTAATTTTACATTGATTATAAATGTTTCAGAACATGTTGTGTTAAATGAACTCTTACACAGTTGCCAACTATAGATAGCAAAGGTATGTGCTGATAATTCATAATTCATTAGCAAATCATTTCTGATTGTAATGTGCATTCTTTTTAAATTCTGAATACTAAAACTGGTTGTTTAAAATTTCCAAGAATTTCACTGGGTGGAGATTTTTCTGAGACTGCTAAGATCTCATCAGAATGTACTGGTTTCAGTTTAGAGATCTCTGAGGAGCATAAGAAAAAGGTCAGAGTACTACTGTAGTAAAATCTCTCTGGTGGAAATTGGCATCTTTAAATCTCATATTCTGTAGCTATGAAGTAAAAGCATAAATTCACTATAAATTAGTTTCATTGGGATAAATCCAAGATTCACATATAATGAAAGTTAAAATTCTGCCTCCTGTAATCCTAGCACTTTGAGAGGCTGAGGTGGGTAGATTGCCTGAGCTCAGGAGTTCCAGACCAGCCTGAGAAAAAGCAAGACCCTGTCTCTAACAAAAATAGAAAAATTAGCTGGGCGTTATGGTGGGCATCTGTAGTCCCAGCTACTCAGAAGGCTAAGGCAGGAATATTGATTGAGCCCGAGAATTTGAGGAGGTTGGCACTCTATCTAGGGCATTAGAGAAAGATGCTGTCTCCAAAAAATTCTGCATTATTAGGATAGACCCATATGCAACTCACTAGGGAAAATCTTTCCTCTGAAATATGGTTAACACTAATTTTCTCAACACAATTCAAAAATATTTACATGCTTTGAAAATTTTAAGATTAATAATTTGGTCAATAGATTCATTTTGAGGAAAAAAACAATTTTAAGAGCTTTAAGTGATGGGGACAATATTCAAGTTCTGTGTTCCCACTTTAATATTGAAGATAATAAAGTTGTATTAACTTGGGTGATTTTTAAAATTGAGCTAGAATTCACATAAGAGTAACCATTTTAAAGTGTGTAATTCAATTGCATTTAGTACATTTACAATGTAATCTGGTTCTAAAACAATTTCATTGTCTCAAAATGTTCTCGTTACTATACCCTGTACCTATTAGGCAGTCATTCCCTATTCCCTTCGTCCCCCAGTCCTGGCAACTGCTAGTTTGCTTTCTGCCTTTAAATATACCTGTGACCAATATGCCTCTTTAGATTTCACTTTTTTAAGTATTTGATACAAATGGAATCATAATAAAACATGACCCTTAGTGTCTGGCTTCTTTCACAGGATTTCAGGGTTCATCCATGTTATATGTATCAGTACTTCATCTCTTTTTATGACTTAATAACACTCCACTGCAGTGAAATTCCAGTTTTGTTGGCATTTTTTGGCTGTTGTGACTCATGCTGCTACGAATGTTTATATAAAGTTTTTGTTTCAACATCTGTTTGCAGTTCCTTGAATTATATACCTAACAGTAGAATGCTAGGTTATATGGTAATTGTTTACCTTTTTGGGAAGCTGCCTAACTTTTCCACAATGGGTGTATCATTTTACATTCCTTCAGTTATATACAAGGGTTCTAATTTCTCTATATCCTCACCAATTTATTTTCCATTATTATAGCTATCCTAGTAAGTGTGAAATGGTATCCACTAATGCGGTTCTTGTTAATTTCAGATTAATGCAAGGGTACAAATGGATTCCATACTTTGCATTTGTAAGATTAAAGTTGTTTGGTTTAATTAATATTGTCTCAGTCATGAACTACATTATTCACAATGGATTATCCAACTCCCTATGTTTTTTTCCAAAGAGCCCATCTTTAGGAATTTCTTACGTTTTGCAAGCTTGTTAAGTTGGAAAGTGCAATCTCATTGCTGCTTTTGAAAAATATTTTGGGAGAAAACGCTATAAAAATACCAAAGCCCTTGAGTGTAAATTAGGAGTAAGAAGGCTAAGCCTACAACAGATAATTTTTAAAATATGGCTCTACATCAATGATTTTTTTCAGAGAATAAACTTGCTTATTACCATTGTTTACCTACCATTTTGGGGGGGAGGGACAGATCTCAAGCTGTTGCCCTGGGTAGAGTGCCTTGGCATCATAGCTCACAGCAACCTCAAACTCTTTGGACTTAAGCAATTCTCTTGCCTCAGCCTCCCAAGTAGTTGAGATTACAGGCACCCGCCACAACTCCTGGCTATTTCTTGGTTGCAGTTGTCATTGTTTGGCAGGCCCGGGCTGGATTCAAACTTGCCAGCTCTGGTGTATGTGGCTGGCGCCCTAGCTGCTTGAACTACGGGCACCCAGCCGGTTTACCTACCACTTCTAAGTGCCAATTTAGGTAGACAAAGTAGCAGATAGCAAGAATACCTAAATAATACTTCCTGAGAAACTGAAATAGTGATAGCTGAGTATAACTTACCAAGTTTTGATGCATAATTATAAAAAAATTCTGCTTATTAAAAACATCATAGATTTTGAAAAGAAAACTCCAAATTCAATATAAGCTTTAAAAATAAATTTTTGAAAAGTTACTGAGCAATATGACATTAAAAACTGTAAGAATATGGTTAAAATTAATTCCTTTGCAAGTTAGCCTTGCTCAGTCTGTCCTTAATACACCCCTTTTACTTGAATGGCACTCTACCCAGTCTAAAAAACAAAACCATTATAACCAAAGTCAGGTGAGTTCCTGAGCCAGCTCCCCTGCTGAAGGCAGGGAGAGACACAGTATTTACATGCTCAGTAAGAATGAAGGCATACATACCAGTAGAAACATGCTCAGTAAGATTGAAGGCATACATACCAGTAGAACATTGTAGAAATCATCGTCCTGTCTTTTAACACTAGCAGGTATCCACTAGTACAGCTACCTTAATATTCTTTGCATAAGACCAAATAATTGCTTTTGCTATTCATTTTTTCCCAATGTGTGTTATTAGAATTCAACCACTTAACCATTTGATATGGTTTGTGGAAATAATCACAAAGGATATCTTTCTAAAAGTAACACAGAAACAAAAGCAGCTAAGTACCCTTCCAGTATTGGTACCTGAATACAATGTCACAACATACATACTAGTAGAAATATTAAAATATTAATTTTAAGAGCCAAGTCTTAATTCCAATTTTATATTAATGTACTCTTTATAGTGAAATTAGATCACTTTAATGGGATTAAAAATGTATTTCATTGCTAACATTTTCTTAAAAATAACTAAGCTCCTTATATAAATAAATGTTATTCAGGAAGAGTTCCTGGTGTACCTATAACCTCCCAACACTAATTCTGTCAGTCCCTAGGAAAGTGAACTGCTGGTAGATTATTTCTATTTTTTAAATTTTTTTTGTTTTTGAGACAAATTCTCAAGCTGTTACCCTGGGTATAGTGCTGTGACATCACAGCTCACAGCAACCTCAAACTCTTGGGCTTAAGCGATTGTCTTGCCTCAGCCTCCTAAGTAGCTGGGACTAGGGGCACCTGCCACAACACTCGGCTATTGTTGTTGTTGCAGTTGTCATTGTGGTTTTAGCTGGCCCTGACCAGGTTCAAACCCACTAGCCTCAGTGTTTGTGGCCGGCGCCCTACCCACTGAGTACAGGCGCTACCTTGGTAGATTATTTCTAAACACATTCTCAGAATTGAACCTTCTGAGTAGGTAATCAGACTCAAGAGCTGTTTACTAACTTTCTCTATCAGATCTTCAGATAATTTACTTGCAGATATACCAACCATTTGCTCTTATTAGTTTTCATTCCACCAAAGTTGCTGCCAGGAAGTAGAAGCACTTGTTTTCAATGACAAATCAGAAGTCACTTTTTTTTTTTTTGAGACAGAGCCTCAAGCTGTCCCCCTGCGCAGAGTGCCTTGGCATTACAGCTCACAGCAACCTCCAACTCCTGGGCTCAAGCGAGTCTCCTGCCTCCGCCTCCCAAGTAGCTGGGACCACAGGCGCCCGCCACAACGCCTGGCTATTTTTTGGTTGCAGCCGTCGTTGTTTGGCGGGTCCGGGCTGGGGATTCGAACCCGCCACCTTAGGTGTACGTGGCTGGCGCCTTAGCCGGTTGAGCTATAGGCGCCAAGCCCAGAAGTCACTTTCAAAGCTCCATGAAAAGGAACCAGAAATTCAACATTTGTTCCAAGTCACTCACGCCAGTAATCCTAGTACTCTGGATTATCCAACTCCCTAAATTTTTCCCAAAGAGCCCATCTTTAGCAAGGTGGAGACAGGAGGATCGCCTGAGCTCAGAACAACCTAAGCAAGAGCAAGACTCTCTAGCCGTCCTCAGTGGCTCATATCTGTAATCCTAGCACTTGTGGAGGCAGGTGGATTGCTTGAGCTCAGTAGTTCAAGACTGCTTGAGCAAAAGCAAGACCCCATCATCTACTAAAAATAGAAAAACTTGCAACTTGAGAGGTTGGAGGCAAGAGGAATGTTCGAGCCCAAGAGTTTGGGGTTGCTGTGAGCTGTGACCCCAAGGTACTCTAGCCTAAAGCAACAGAGTGAGCCGCTGTCTCAAAAAAATAAGAGACCCCCATCTCTACCAGGAAAAAAAAAATAGAATTAGCCTGGTGTCCTGATGGGTCCCGCAGTTTCAGTTACTTGGGAGACTGAGGCAGAATGTCTTGAACTCAGGAGGTTGCCTTGAGCTAGGCTGGGGCTCTGGCCTGGGGCAAACACTGAGACTGTCAAGAAAAGAAGAAAATAGAGAAAAAGGAAAAGAGGGAAGGAAGGAAATAATGAAAAGATAGATTTATTCTCAATGATTGGAAAATTTAAGATAATTTTGTACCTATACTGAAGTAAACTAGAAGTCTCCAAATGAGATACTGATAATCTGCAAAATTAAGACATTTCACTTAAGTTTTACCAATAAAGGGAGAAAAATCCATGGAAATTGAAATCTTTAACAAAGTATCAAGACATTACATCATAGAAAAGCAGCTGATAAAGCTAGACAAAAGACAATGGGGATTATTATGAACCCCCCCCAAAAAAAATTACAGGAAAGTGGGATAGAGAATAGATGATGGTACTACTCTCAACTCTGATGGTGCCATTTAGTCTTTAAGGGGATCTGGCTCAGCCCCTACAGCTCAAGCAGCTAAAGTGCCAGCCACATACAACAGAGTTGATGGGTTCAAATCCAGCCAAACAATGACAACTACAACCAAAAAATAGCCGGGCATTGTGGCAGGCACCTGTAGTCCCAGCTACTTGGGAGGCTGAGGCAAGAGAATCGCTTAAGGCCAGGACTTAGAGGTTGCTGTGAGATGTGATGCCACGCCACTCTACCCAGGGCGACAGCTTGAGACTGTCTCAAAAAAAAAAAAAAAAAAAAAAAGGAATCGCAATTCCTCTTCAGTTTCTCTGTTAACACTATTTGACAATTATCTAATAGAATACTTTTTAATGTAGGGGTATAATCAACTACTTTGTATGAGAGAGTGGTCACAGAGACCCCTCATTGATTGACCAACACTGTTTAATATTTTAGTAAAACACTGAATCTTGAGTGTCAAAATATTTCATAAGAGTATTTCAGTAAATAAGAATAGTGATGGAGCTTTTATTAGGTTTGCATGGAACAAGGAAAAACATTGAGTCATCACACAATACTTTCTCCAAAAGTATTTAATCACTTCTCTAACAAAAAATCAGATTTTTCTCAATTTGATTTATAAAAAACTAATACTATGAGGACTGAAGACTAGGTAATTTCTAGAGTTAAAAACATCTAACCTGCCAAATTAATGCTTTCCTTTAATCGTGCAAATCTTTTATAACCAATTTAGTGAAAATTAAGGCATTTTGAACTGTTTTATAAAATATTTTACTTACTTTTAAGACCGTCTATCTCCCTAGGTTGAGTGCACTGGCATTATAGCTCACAGAAACCTCAAATTTCTTTGTACTCACTTTCCCGAGTAACTGGGACCTCAGCGCCTCCCATGACGCCCGGTTAGTTTTTTGTCTTTAGTAGAGGCAGGTTTTGCTCTTGCTCAGGCTGGTTTAGAACTCCTGAGCTCAAGCAACCTACCCACTTCAGCCTCCCAAAACGCTAGCATTACAGGCTTGAGCCACCATGCCCCACCGAATTTTAGTTTCTTCATGTAGTTATTGCCATTGGTAGTTAAGAGCTGCCTTCTATTACAAAGATTATATATGTATTCTCCTAACTCCCTCTTTAGAGAAAGCACCTTTTGACTTAACTGGATATATATTTTTTAATTTTATATTTCCTAGTTTACACCCTATAAAACTACACGTACTATCCCATATTTTCGTTTTTTCAAACAAGAAATAAAACTTATTTGGAAAAAGGGAGAATTCACCCTTTGATTAAAGTTGCACTTACAAGTGATATAAACTAAGCACACTTTACCGCAGTAAACTTTCTCATAACCAACTGATTTAATTCTAACTTCCTTTTGCTTCAACCAGTGTTTTAAGAACAAAAAAAACTCTTTGTAACTTGCATTTTAGAAATAAATCCTCACTCCATAAACTAAATCTAGATAAGCCATTAAATCATCAAAAAGCAAGGTTTATAAGATACACAAAACATCAAAATATAGACAAAAACTAAGTTATTCAAAATTACCCATAGTTGAGTCCATAATAACTTAATAGATATAGTTAATGAGGTATACCTTTTATTACTTTAGAGTTACATGAAGGTTTTGATTAAACTATTAATTTGTGATGTTAAAAGTGCCTGTGAACTCGGCCAGGTGCAGTGGCTTATCCCTGTAATCCTAGCACTCAGGGATGCCAAAGCTGAGGGATTGAGCTCAGGAGTTCCAGACCAGCTTGAACAAGACTGAGACCTCTCCTCTCTACTAAAGATAGAAAAACTTGCCAGGTGTAGTGAGTGGTACACACCTGTACTCCCAGCTACTCCGGGGCTGAGGCAAGAGGATTGATTGAGCCCAAGAGTTTGAGGTTGCTGTGAGCTATGATAAGGCCATTGCACTGTACGCAGGGCGAGAGAGAAACTCCGTTTCCAAAAAGAGTCCTGTGAACTCAGTTCTTTGTAGGAGTAAGACACTAACAGTCTTTGTAAGCTGCCATGCAAATTGCACTTGAATTTTTTAAATTAATTTTAGCTGTAAAACACATAAATACATGCTTTGTGTGTAGTTCGTTTTGTTACAGCCTTTTGATCTGACCTTAGAAATTTATAGCATCAAAATATTTATCAAAGAAAACTAAGTTTTTTATGTTGCTCCCTGCAACATAACAATCCATATTTTATTTCAAGTTTAAATAATTAGTAAGCCTACTGGTATCTGCATTTTGTCCACAGTATGTAAAACATGCAGGTCAACTCTGCTATGTAGGAAAATCCATTTCAAATACCTTCAGGACTAAAAAAGAACACATACAATTATGTTTTATCATTTTATTAGGAATAATTCCAAATAGGTTGTGAAGAAAATGTATTCATTGAATTTGATGAGTTTTCCAAAAACTCTTAATGAAGATATGTTCACCAATAAACAATAAAACATCAGCAGAACTATCATATACTGGGCAAAGAGTCAGGCTGATACCAAAAGCAACATGCAACATAAAAAAGATACAATATAAAGGAAGACAATCTGCTGAGTATTAAAAACCATCTCAATATGAACTCTTTGCAACCAGCACAGAACTAATTAGCTATCAAATCCAAATTACACAAAAGTTTGGCTGACAGAGGCCAGGAATCAATATTGGGAAAAAAAAATAAGTTCCTCAGTGCAAGAGAGTTTTATAGTGTTTTGGAGCATTTCCCTGGCTGGTACAAGCTATTAGTATTAGAAAAACTTTTTGGCAAGGGAGAGAAATAAATACAAATGGAATGCTACATTTTTATATCAGCAGACTGTCCCAGGAATGATAAAGGTATCAGTAAAGTAGCAAGAGGATAACTTTAAAACATTATTGTTGAGGGCTCAAAAAACATTCAAAATGGATTTATTTAAAGGTTTCACAATAGCTATGTCCAGGCATTTAGGCTAAAGGGAGGTAAAATTAAAAGAGGACACTTTTTCCCCAAGGAGAATTTCTTCAAAACCAAGCATATTGCTAAATAGCAACATTATACTTGGTAAACAATAATTGGCAACAAAATAAGTTTATTATGCCCAAACCAGTCCCAGGTACTGTTTAATAACCAAGATGCAAACTAATTTTGTTGTAACAAGCCTAGACCAATTCTATCAAACATGTCCTTGGTTAAATATCCAGTTTCATTTAACGTTTTGAAAGCTCATTTGACAGCCAGTCAAGTCCCTCATACAGGCCAGTTCCTTGTGTAGCACAAGTGGCTTGAACATACCACTGCAAAGAAAGGACAAGAAAATACTTGATTAACATAAGACTCTCTCTCTCTCTATGTATCTATATATATATAACCATATATAGCGTTCTTTATTAAAAACTTAAAATATTTCCCCCAAATTTCCCCGGATATTATGAGTCAGCAATTAGCATTAAGTGTATAGAAAAAAAGGAAACAAAATAATATATGATAGGAATAAATGTAGTATGGCAAAATATTACATCTCACAAATGGTCAATTCTATATTTAATGTTCTCAGTAATTACACAGATTATTCAAAATTATCTAAGCTTTTCCTGAAACTATTCTTCATAGGGAAGAAAAAGAAGAGGGGGTGAAAATCATCTACCCCAGGGGCCCTCAAACTTTTTAAACAGGAGGCCAGTTCACTGTCCCTCAGACCATTGGAGGGCCGGACTGCGGGCCCCAGATGAGTCAGCTGCTAAGCAGGACAGGCAGCTTCGACAAAAACACCTGGCAGGCCAAATAAATGTCTTAGGCAGGCTGCAAGTGGCCCACAGGCCATAGTTTGAGGATGCCTGAGGAGTCTTCTCACACATCTTGGTTTTCACAACTCTGCCTGGATATTTGAAGCTACTTCTACCTACCTATTCATTACATTTAGTCAATTTTCCACCACTTAATTGGAAGAAAGGATTCATGGAGAAATTACTAATAAACTACCCACCTGGTCTCCCATAAAAGACCTATTTTTCTTTTTTTAGAGATAGAGTCTCACTTTGTTGCCCTCTGTAGAGCGCTGTTACATCACAGCTCACAGCAACCTCCAGTTCTTGGGCTTAGGTGAATCTCTTGCCTCAGTCTCCCAAATAGCTGGGACTACAGGTGCGTGCCACAACGTCCAGCTATTTTTTGTTGCAGTTTGGCCAGGGCTGGGTTTGAATCTGCCGCCCTCAGTATATGGGGCCGGTGCCCTACTCAATGAGCCACAGGCACCACCAAAGAGGCCTATTTTTGAAAGAGTAGTGTTTGATGATTAAACGTTTCAGATAATTTCACGTATCTTTAGTTTCATGCACTCCAAAAAGTTCCAGCTTTTTTAAAGATGAGAATGAATCTTATCTCCATTAACTGTGGAGAAGTTAAATCTAAGAAAAACAACCTATAAAGCAACTTACACCTTTTAAGAGATGGTTTATTTTATTTATTTATTCATTTATTTGAGACTCTTTTATTTATTTGAGACAAGAGTCTCAAGCTGTTGCCCTGGGTAGTGCTGTGGCATTATAGCTCACAGCAACCTCCAACTCAGGCTCAAGCTTGCCTCAGTTTTTCTATTTTTAGTAGAGACAGGGGGTCTTGCTTTTGCTCAGGCTGGTCTCAAACTTGTGAACTCAAGCAATCTACACACCTTGGCTTCCCAGAATGCTAGGACTAGGCTCAGCGCCTGTGGCTCAAGCAGCTAAGGCACCAGCCACATACACCTAAGGTGGCAGGTTTGAATCCAGCCTGGGCCTGCAAAACAACAATGACGGCTGCAACCAAAAAATAGCCAGGTGTTGTGGAAGGTGCCTGTGGTCCCAGCTACTTGGGAGGTGGAGGCAGAGAGACTCACTTGAGCCCAGGAGTTGGAGGTTGCTACGAGCTGTGATGCCACTACACTCTACTCAGGGGGACAGCTTGAGGCTTTGTCTCAAAAAAAAGAATGCTAGGACTAGAGGCATGAGCCATTGCACCCGGCCAAGAGTTTTTTTTTTTTAATTTTTGGCCGGGGTCAGGTTTGAACTCGCCACTTCCGGTATATGGGGCCAGCACCCTATTCCTTTGAGCCACAGGCACCACCCGGGTTTATTTTTATTAGTTGTTTTTTTTTGACCAGCTTTATTTTGCCTTAGAGTAAACCCTGCTAAATTTAATGTTCCAAGGCCACTGTAGGAATACTATGTTGCCACTTACTGAGGTTAGGTTAAGTAACATAGGTTTGGGGAAAAGCACAAATTTGTACCTTCACAGCATGGAAAACTTGTATCCTTTATAGTTTATCTTGTTTAAGTCAGCCAGAGAAATCTCAAACAGGCAATAGTTTATTTGTTTTATCATAGTGCAATATCTGCCTTGTTTACAAGTTGATGCAAAATTACTATAAAGCAGCTGACACTACATCATATCTTGCCAACATATCAATCACTGACCTAGAATAAGCTCTGAGACAAGTACAAAACTTCTTACTATCTAATATTCAAAATACACTCAAAATACTTAAATACTGGACCCTTAATAAGAAAACCAAATTAGGGCAGCACCTGTGGCTCAGTGGGTAGTGCACCGACCCCATATACCAAGGGTGGCGGGTTTATGCCCAGCCTTAGCCAAAACTGCAACAAAAACAACAAAAATAGTCGGGCATTGCGCCGAGCGCCTGTACTCCCAACTACTCAGGAGGATGAGGCAAAAGAATCACCCAAGCCCAAGAGTTAGAGGTTGCTGTGAGCTGTGATGCCAAGGTACTCTACCAAGGGTGACAAAATGAGACTCTGTCTCAAAAAAACAAAAAACAAAAAACAAAAAAAGAAAACCAAATTACGAATTATTTGCTGTAGAGTTATTTGAAAAATACAAAATTAAGAATATCAATAATCTTTAGATATTCTAATTCTCCTACAGTAATTGTCTGTCTATATTTTTATTAATACTAAAGATAAAGTTAACAAAAGTTAAATTTGTGGATCCCTAAAAGATATGATATGTAAGTTAAATAGAGAAGACACCAATGTATTTTTATCCACTTTCAAATACTTACTGTTCTGTTACGAAGAGACTGAAGACCTAATTTATCTGTCATTTCACTGATGGCCATGGCATTTGGCAAATCCTGTTTGTTTGCAAAAAGCAGAAGCACTGCATCTTTCAACTCATCTTCCTGGAGCTGGAAATAGAAGCTAAGTCATTAATGACTACCCAACTGGAATCCAATTATTGCAATCAATTAAAACAACAATCTCTTTATTCAACTTGTAATTAATTAAATACATTATTAAACATCAACCAAATTTCTCCACATAATGTTCAAGTACTCTTATAATTTAATCATATCTGTCAGTTTTTAAATCCAGAGCAAACAATCACATGCCTTCAAGTAAAACAAAACTCTTTTAAGCCAATCATTCTACCCACTCCATTAAGGTAAACTGCAGCCTTCAGTCTTAACAATTATCCACTGTCTGGATAGACAAGGGCAAGAAACACATACAGGAATAAAGTGTTTATGGCAGGATCTTAGGATGTTTAGTAGCGTAAGTATTCAGATGATTTTTTTTGGACTTTTATCCTTTCCAACCAAATCGATCAGACAAGAGTTGGAACACCACTACAATTATGTGGGCCTTAGCAGTATTGTGAAAAATATAAAAACTACTAAAAATAAAAGCTGGTAGAAGTATTGATACATGATACAATATATGCTAAGTGAAAGAAGCTACTCACAAAAATACTTATTGTATGATTCCATTTATATGAATGTCCAGAATGGGTGATTGTATAGAAATAGAAAGCAGATTAGTGGTTATCAGGGGATGGGAGCATGGGGTAATAGAGGGAAGAAATGGGGAGTGACTGCTAACAGTCTTAGGATTCTTTTTGGGGTGATGAAAATATTCTAATAGTAGATTGTGCTGACGGTTGTGCAACTGTATATATTAAAATTTATGTTATGAGAATTATATCGCAACACAGCCGTTTTTTTTAAAAAGTGTGAATGTTAAAAAAAAGTGTGGATGTTGGTAACATTTGATTCATTAAGCAAAAAGCCAACAGTGAATTAGTCACACACATATTGGCATCATGGTTTTACAAACTGCACTCTAGTCTTAAGCACAATAAATGAGAATTAAGATTTCATTTCAGCAAATATTTTATGGCGACAAGTTCAAAATCCTGACAAGGTTTCCCTGCAATCTCCTTCCTCTGGAGATGCATATTTTAGAAATAAGGTCTCTGTCTAGAGTATACTGACACAATCATTGCTCACTGCAGCCTCCAATTCCTAGATTCAGATGATACTCCAGCCTCAGCCTCCTGATTAGCTAGTATTCCTTCAAGATATTTAACAACATCAATACACGAAAACAATCTTACAAGCCTATATGGCAAGGCTTAAAATAGCACTATTAGCAAACTGTCTCCACTTCCAGAAGGAATCCTTTATAATGGCTGTTATTAAAAAACATTTCTGAATTATGATAGCTATCAAATAAGGGACTGAACTGTATCATCAGATATCCTCCATCAGAGATAAGCACCAAAATTACCTATGAAGCATTCTAAAAACCAGCTGCACTTTCCTCTAAACTTATAGAAATAGCTATTCTTCCATGTGTTTTTAAGAAAGCTCTAAAAGACACGTTGATGTGAGTGCATTCTTAAGAACCCACTGACAGTAGTTTCTCAAGGCTCTTGCTAGTGCAAAAAAAGTTCACTTGTGCAAGTACCAACCACTTAAAACTACTACCACTGTCACCTAGAAAAACAGATCTTGAACATAATGAATTTTAAGTATATTCTTACCATTTTCTGTAGCTCTTCTGCTCCTTCTTGAATTCTTTCACGATCATTGCTATCTACCACAAAAATAAGACCCTGGGGAAAAATAGTTTGAATAAATTATAATGGTTAAACATAAAGAACACACTAAAGATAAAACAAATACAGACAACAAAATGGTATAAGGGGTTGCAGTTAGGAAGAAAATGTCTTATTAAAACACAAAGATAGGGCGGCACCTGTGGCTCAGTGGGCAGGGCGCCAGCCCCATATACCAAGGGTGACAAGTTTAAACCCTGCCCCGGTTGAACTGCAACAAAAAAATAGCCGGGCGTTGTGTCGGGCGCCTGTAGTCCCAGCTACTTGGGAGGCTGAGGCAAGGGAATCACGTAAGCCCAGGAGTTGGAGGTTGCGGTGAGCTTTAAACTTATTAGTTGTTACTTCTTTTTTTTTTTGAGACAGAGTCTTAGTATGTCGCCCTCCATAGAGTGCCATGATGTCAAACCTCACAGCAACCTCGAACTCTTGGGCTTAAGCATTTCTCTTGCCGCAGCCTCCCAAGTAGCTGGGACTACAAGCGCCTGCCACAACACCTGGCTATTTTTTTACTGCAGTTGCCATTGTTGTTTAGCTGGCCGGCGCCAGGTCCGAACCTGTGGCTTACACCATAACCACTGTGCTACGGGTGCAGAGCCTATTCGTGTTATTTCAAATCTAAAAAAACCTTATTCTTAAACAACTGATGTTTCTCGGCTACCTTAAGAAGAGAGTTTATCCCTTTCCCAACTTCCCTCTGCATTCCCATATTTAAGTGCATGTTATTAGTAGCAAAAAAGCTACAAAGTGGGAGCAAAAGGAAAAAGAATAAATCAAAGATTTTAAATCATCATGAATTAGCTTATTCACTCACAGGCATGCACAAAGTGTTGGGGGACGTGGAGGAAGGAGGATGCTATAATAGTTTTTTATATGCTTTATCAAGGAAGCAAAAAAATAGCCTTGCTCTAGATGTTGCCTGCCAACTCTAGAATCAGAAGAATGAATTCTTAAAACATATCAGGAAAAAATTCAAGTTTCACTTAATCAAGTAAGATATCCTTAACAAAAAGGAAGGTAGTAACAATTTTTAAAGATACAAATATTAGAATCCTATGCCACAGAAGAAACAGAATTGGTAAGCAGTTAATTGAATTTAGACTTTTCTAAAAGCTTTCAAGTGGGAAAAGTATAAAATTTTCGAATAGAAAAAGAGATGCATTAATTTTATAGCTTTGTTAAAAATCTATTCCTATTCTTCTTCCCACAATCCTAACCCCTAAAGTATTTTTGATCATTTGTCACTTATTTTAGATTGCCCTGCACTATTAACTTTTACACTTTAGTGTAAGTAAATACACTAAATCCACTGACAGCAAAGGACTGCCCTGTATCATTTTCTATTTACCCCTCAGCATTACAACAACACAGGGCTCTCATACTGAATTACTGTTATTAAATGACAATTTCCTTTGGGTTAGCAAATTTCAAGTTCATTTCCTTTATCTTTGTTGGAGACATCCCATCCTTTGAAAAAACTTTCGGTACTGGGTGGCACCTGTGGCTCAAAGGAGTGGGGCACTAGCCCCATATACTGGAAGTGGTGGGTTCGAACCCAGCCCCAGCCAAAAACTGGAGGGAAAAAAAAAAAAAAAAACACAACTTTGGTACTTGGGGAGTCAATATAATATGGTAGAAGACAGACCCAAATTCTCAGCACTACTTGTTACGTATATTACCTAATCCTTAAATGTGCCTCTTCTTCTATACAATAAAAACAATACCACCAACTTTATAAGCCTGCTAAAGATTAAATGTAAACACAGAGGTATAAAGAATCTATCCTTGTTCCTAGCTCATTATAGGCATTTAGCAAATCTATGTCTCCCCGTTCCCTATCTCAAATCTATTCCTTCCTTTTTAGAACCCACCCTCTAGAAAAGGTAATATCTCCAAAAGGGATCTAATTTTATTTGACTACTAACATTTCATTTTTCTATTTCAAAATGTAAATAATACTATCAGTGGCAAAGTAATATTGAGAGGGATGATTATTTTAGGAATAATTTCTTAGTTGGTCTCTTTCTTTTTTTTTTTGAGACGGAGCCTCAAGCTATAACCCCTGGGTAGAGTGCCATGGCCTCACAGCTCACAGCAACCTCCAACTCCTGGGCTCAAGCAAGTCTCCTGCCTCAGCCTCCCAAGTAGCTGGGACTACAGGCACCCGCCACAGCGCCGGCCATTTTTTGGTTGCAGCCATCATTGTTGTTTGGGCCCGGGCTGGGGATTCGAACCCGCCACCTTAGGTGTATGTGGCTGGCGCCTTAGCCGATTGAGCCACAGGCGCCGAGCCTAGTTGGTCTCTTCTAAACAACCTACCATGTTTCCCCGAAAATAAGACATTGTCTTATATTTATTTTTTCTCAAGAAGACACACTAGTGCTTATTTTCAGGAGATGTCTTATTTTTATTAAGTATAATACAACCATCTTTATTTATTCAAATACAGTTAAGTCATCTTCTTCTGGAATCTGACGGGGGGAGCCGACCTTGTTGGTGGGGCTGGCACTAGTGATATGTGAACTCCTTTCCCCTAGCCATTCGCACGTGTGCAATAGGATGCCTGCGACTGGTTACCACATGAGCACCTGCGCAAGAGCAAACGGCTTGGAGAAAGGAGCAGATAAAAGGTATTCCAGTCTTCCTTACTGCTCTACACTGAAATCCATCACTAGGTCTTATTATTGGGGGTAGGGCTTATATTTAATAAACGCATAGAAATCCTGCTAGGGCTTATTTTGGGGGTTAAGTCTTATTTTCGGGGAAACATGGTAGAATCAAGAGTATAGAAAAGCTAGAATTCTGGGCAGTGCCTGCGGCTCAGTGGGTAGGACGCCCACACCATATACCAAAGGTGGCAGGTTCAAACCCGGCCCTGGCCAAACTGCAACAAAAAAAACAGCCGGGCATTGTGGCAGGCGCCTATAGTCTCAGCTACGTGGGAGGCTGAGGCAAGAGAATCACCTAAGCCCAGGAGCTGGAGGTTACTATGAACTGTGTGACGCCATGGCACTCTACCAAGGGCGATAAAGTGAGACTCTTGTCTATACAAAAAAAAAAAAAAAAAAAGAAAGAAAAGCTAGACTAATTCTAACAATAAGCCCAGATGCTTTAAAATTACTTTAAAGGTCAAATATTTTCCTAATTATTTAGAACAGCAAATTAATTGGAATTATCTAATGAAAAATTTACTACAAATTGTGCTCTGGATTGTTAGTATAAGTTAAAACATGGTTAAAGCTAAAATTAGCTTCTTTAAAATTTTATAGCTATAAGAAGCTATGAAGAATGATGGGAACAGGAGCTAAAAGCTTAGAGATGATTACATCAAGTAATACAAAGCTTGCCCCAGGCATGAGCTCCACAGGAAGCAGTACTAGAGACTTTTAATTCTAAGGTAATCCAAAGAGGCAGGAATGGGTCTAATTTCAAATTAAGAGCTCAAAGTAAATTACAAAGCATTCAAAACTCATTTAGGAATAAGACCAGGATTACCCTTAGCCAAGTCTTACAAGGCTTAATAATTAGCAAAGTTTACTTCACATCTAATTGTATTTCCAAAACATATTCCCTAAATGAAATCAGCCTACAACTTACTTTAAAATAGTCTGGTGGGGGAAGCACATTAGAGGTATAATTAAACATTGGTTGTATCTTAATAACTAACCATATATGGAAGTTTATTATTCTATTCTCTCTACTTTTGTGTATCCAAGATTATCACTAATCAGAAAATCCAAACTCTGACGTGCTCCAAAATGCAAAACTTTCTGCATACCAACATTAGAACATTTCACTGATTAGAGCATTTCAGATTTTTAAATTTGGCCTCCACTGGGTAAATATAATGCAAATATTCCAAGATCCAAAAATGTCCGATATCCAAAACACTTCTGGTCCCAAGCATTTTGGGTAAGAAATATTCAACCTGTACTAAAATTTTCCATAATAAAGTTTTTTTTAAGCATGTATCTCTGTATCAAAAATCTTCTCTAGACACATCTTTATTATTAATGAACATAAAACATTTTCGTTTTTGAGTATGAGCATACCGCTTATTTAACATGATATACTACTTAACCTGGTTGTTTAAGCTACAAAATAGGCTATAGTATAAGCTTTACCTAGGGTTTTCACTACTACATGGTGGCAATAAACTCACTCGTAGGCAGTGGGTTTTTTTTGTTTTTTTTTTT